GGTAGTGTCCCCATATTGCCACAGTATGGATAGAGCGTAAGCCCCATGCTGCTTCGCTCCCATTTCTAAGCCTAGTCAGTAGCTACGGCTATATTGATTCATGGTGTCCTCATCCTGGCCTCTTTTGTTGTATTGGCCAACAGGATAGCCGAGAAACAGTACAGAGATATGAGCCCACCTCACGCTGCTACTCTTCGAAACAGGATTGCCTCAAGAACAGCTAAGTGTAGATTTAGGTTCTGGTTTTCAGTCGATTTTCAGTCTTAACTTAACGTACATTTTAAACGATATCGTACAGACTATTTTTAGTAGTTAGGTTAGTAAGACATTTATGTCGATTTAGTAGTTACAATATGATTTAGATTTTAGGTTTCATTACATTACGCCTTGTAATAGTATTACTTTTTTATAGATATTATTATTGCACTAACATCATATAAAATATATCAAATTAATTAAAGTAATACTACATTTCATATATTCTCTTAAACGTTACATGTCTTGTATTTTATCATAGTTGTTTTCATAGATATTTAGTACAATTCTTAACACCACTTTCGTTGACATATAACCACTATAATAATTATTAAAATTGTACAATGCTATTTACCATCACAGTCCATCATGAATAAATATAGTCATTAGTTTTAAGTAATATACAACTGTGTTTTCTTTCTCTGTACATGCCTGGCGCCCAATATCTGTATTTTTTGTTTATTGTTATTAATTAGTTCTTTCCAGTGAAATACCTTATCCACGACTGCTCTCCTATGAAAAGCTGCCGTTCGCAGTGGTAATGTTTATAACAAAACGCTACAGTGCCCATCGCATCCAAGAACCAATTAAAAACATTTTTCGGAGGAGCTAGTTAAATTTTATTATTTCAATTAATAACAAGCCCTATAACATAGGATACAACATTTTAATGAACAGTTTTTCCATAAAACAAACTTTCCATAAAATCAATAAAATGAAAAATATACGAAATAATATGCATGTACGATTTCTTTCGAAAATCGACAACTATGAAACTATGAACTCTTCCTGGACACAAACGGTACATTGTGAGACAGAAAATTGTAGAGAGAAACAAGCCCTATAACATAGGATACAACATTTTAATGAACAGTGCTTTCCATAAAATCAATAAAATGAAAAATATACGAAATAATATGCATGTACTGATTTCTTTCGAAAATCGACAACTATGAAACTATGAACTCTTCCTGGACACAAACGGTACATTGTGAGACAGAAAATTGTAGAGAGAAACAAGCCCTATAACATGGGATACAACATTTTAATGAACAGTGCTTTCCATAAAATCGAAAATTGTTTTCCAAAAAATACGTTTAAAGAAAATAATTTTGCACGAATTTGCACTTTTTTCCAGTTATTTACAGATTATTTGTAAATGATGAACAAATACGGCGTCAAAGAGTTTTAAGTTCAATATGAAAAAACTAAACCAAATTGAGTTTGTACCAACGGATCAATAATTTTACTTCCTTGGGTAGTATAATCTTAACCAACAGAAGTACAGAGCAAGATATCATAACCAGAATAAACAAGACCAGAATAGCATTTGGAATGCTCAACAAAATTTGGAGATCTAGACGGTACTCTCAACTTACCAAACTTAAAATTTTTAACTCAAATGTCAAGTGAATATTGTATGGTGCAGAGACCTTGAAAATTACACCGCCGTTAATTACTTTAAACTCCAATTCATAAAGAGTCGTCTGCGAAACAATAGTAGAAATATACTGACAAAACACTATCAGAAATGACGATTTATGGAGTTTAACCAACCAGAGGCAGGTGTATAATGAAATCAAACTGAAGAAATGGAGGTGCAGTGGTCACACATTAAGGAAAAGTGGCAACAACATCGCTGACAGAAATATTGGGTAGAACACACAAGGCAGTAGAAGAACTGGCCACCCAAGACACACCTGGCAAAGAACTATCAAAACCAGAGATTGTAGCAGTCAACCGACTATGGCGAGATGTCAAATCAATTGCAAATAACCGAACCCGCTGGAGAGCATTTATTGAAGCCCTATACTCCACGTATGAGTAAAGGACAAACTGAAAAAAAAAATACTAAAAACTAAACTGATCTTGAATAGTGGAATTTACGTTATTTAAAATTGTTTTCCTTGTGTTTATTTTTGCCTTGTGACAACGGGAGGAGATATACCTCCTGAAATATGTTTACAAAAAATCATTCTTTTATTTTGTAGATTTCTCTTAGAGTGGAAAAACCCCGAAAGTTTTTCAAGAAATTTCTATTCTAATAGACTTTAAAATATTTAAATAAACGCATCCGTTAACGAGATATCTTTCAGAACAAAAAGAAGTAAACATCGGAAACCTTTTTGGAAAATTAAATGCTTTTCCGGGACTCGGGTTTCATAAAGCCACTTTAATATGTTGCGTAGAGTAAGTTGATTTATCAAGGGGGCACACAGCCCAGAGAGTCCGAGTCGGGAGTTCAAAGTGAAAATATGCTGGCGTTTCCCTTTTTTATACTGGATTTTCTCTATTTTTCCTTTTTTCTTTCCGGTCGGAAAAGAAACACTAGCGTGTTGTAGGACTTAAGTTTGTTTAGAGATAAGGCGGGTAAAAGCTGAGTCCTCTTCTAAAGGAATTTCATCACATTAAATAAGTTGGCGTAGTCCTATTCGATAAAGATTTTTTCCCTTTTTGTAGCCAAACATATAATTTGAAAGTTTGATGTTTGTACAACAATATTATTGCTCTTTTTTATTATACAAGATGGTCCGAATTGTATAATGGAAAACTTAATATTGTGCAGATAAAAATAAGTAGAAAAGTTGTTATAAATTTATGTCCTGAAATGCTTCATTTTGGAGATACAAGGTGTAGAAATTTCATTTTTACATCAATTTTTTTTAAAAAGTATCTGAACTATAGTTGATATTTGGATCGGTTGATGAATATTGATATTCGGTGTCTGGGTGTTTTTTGACATGAAATATTTCCATGTAAGTATTACACCTACATGATTCTAACAACTGTTTTGAAGAGTAATAACTTTTCTTTCGTTCATGTATTACACTACCGTCTAAAATAGTGTACAGAGTGAGTCAAATTGGACGCTTTTAAAGGGAAACACCCTTTTCTATAGGAGATAGACGAAAACTAATATCGGAGCTCAATTTTTATCAAAAATATGGTGAAAACCGCACATCTATATCTGATACCGTTTAGGAGTTACGGGGTGTTTTTGAAAAATATGCATTTTAAACAAATCGATGTAAGTTTCTTGCTATGGAAAAGTTTGTACTTTTATGAAAACATTTCCAAAACACTTTTTTACGTAGAATTTAATAGTTTAAGTATAATTTTTTTAAAATTAATAATTTAAAAGTTATCCACAGAGAACTTGATTTTTTATATGGGACACCGTGTATATTTTTAATTAACTGAAGAAAACTTAAAATTACCTTTCCAAAAATACAGCAGGCTTGATATTTTGTTATAATCCTCTTCGAAATACAAATTTTTTTAAATTTCGCCACTTTTAACTAGTAGGCTTTGGACCCCTTATCGATGATCTGCCCCTAATGGAACTCGAAAACATATTTTTCCAGTAAGACGAGACACCGCCTCAGAACGCTGAACTTATCAGCAAATTTTTGCAGACAATTTCTAGAATAATTGAATAGCTAACCAAGATCCCAGCCATTGGCCGTCGAGACCGCCGAGGCCTCCGGATTTAGCGCCTATGAATTTTTATCTTTGCGGAAAAATGAAGGTTCTTATTTTTAAATTACCCATATAACCTAAACAAAAATTAGAAGTACTTAACGGTTATACGAGGGTATCTTTCACCTCCACTGAGTAATGAATTCCGCAAGAGATGTTCAAAAACGGTCCCGTCTGTCCATCACAGAAGACCAAATATCGAACACCTGTAGCAAAATCTCATGTCTTGGTTTGTTATTTATTTTTATTATCATTAAATATAATTTAAATGTGTTGATGTTGTTAAATATAGTTTAAATCGTTATAAAATTCTGCATCTCTCATTGCAAATATTATTTTAGTTTTAATTGCTGCCCACGGCTACAATTTTTTTGCTTTACAGCCGGCGATGTTCAAAGCCTACTTATTCAAAGTGTGCGAATTTTTAAAAACTCTGTATCTCAAAGAGGAATCCAGCAAACTATCAAGTATGCTATATTTTTGGAAAGGCAATTTTAAATCCTTTTCAATTAATTAAAATATACAGGATGTCCCATATAAAAAATCAAATTTTTTGTTGATAATTCTTAAATTATTAATTTTAAAAAAATTATACTTAAACTATTAAATTCTATACAAAAAGATGCTTTGGAAATGTTTTCATAAAAATATAAAACTTTCTATAGCAAAAAAAGTTACGACAATTTGCTAAAAATGCATATTTTTGAAAAACTTTTTGTAACTTCGAAACGGTACGGTATAAGATATCGATGTGCGGTTTTCACCATCATGTTATAATAAAAATTGAGCTCCAGACACCGATATTATTTTTCATTTCATATCTTCTATAGAAAAAAGGTGTTTCCCTTTAAAAGCGTCCAATTTGACCCATCCTGTATATTCCAGTGGTTTTTTAATTTTAAAAATATCTTGGTTAAACGAGACAGAAGTAATGATTTTCAAGATAGTTGGAATCGAATTAATCAATATATGTCCGCATTGACAAACACTAATCATATTAACTAGATAGTTATTGGACTCAAATAATAAATTTGGCAATGTTTTTGTGGCAAAGGTTCAACAGAAACTGTTTTATAATATATATATACATATATATAACTTTTAAAAAAAGCACCTTATAAATTTATTTTATTTTACTACTTTTTTATTAATTTAATATTATGTCTAATATTTTAGTTTATTATGGTCTTAGCTCATAACATAAAAAATAAATTTTGCTAACCATTTTTAAAAATGTAGATAACGTCTCTCATATAAATCCTTACCTGTGGATAATCTCCTTCCTTTGTCTGATAATCAAACACATAAAAGAACGTCTTAGGTCCGGTAGCTTCCTGTCCAGTCTGCGGCGGCTTCGCGCTCAACAAATCCCCCGTCTGCACCAACGGCGCAACGAACTGCGCATCACTCAGCGCAGCTACGCAAGCGTCACGAGTATTTATCGGGTGCTGCACCGTCCTCTCCCAGTCCGTGTACTCGTTCACAATAGTAAAAAATATCTCACTCAGGTGATACGTATAGGCGTTACGCACGTAGGTCCGTATGATCTTGTCGCGACGTTCACCCTCAAAGCCTGCTTGGATGTCGTTGGAGGAGAAGCGCCAAAGAGCTTCACCGGTTACCACGCCGAAAAGAAGGTCGTAAGGGTTGCTGCCTTTGGGTACCAAGGTGGCCTCGCTGCGTTTGAGGTTGGCGTTGACGGGGCCTACGAAGCTTTGGAGGTCTTGGGGTTTGAAGTAGGTGACGAGTTCTTTGGCAAAGTCGGCTTTGATTACCACACCTACAAAAGAAAAATAGGTACTTGAAAAATTAGTAATATAAATTTTCGTCATGATATATTAGACGCTGCTGAATATCATGAATTCATCATATTAATAAATAAATAAATAAATGCCTTTATTGTCAAAAAATTTTTCAATTTGTAGACAAAGGTAGGGGTTGTCAATCACTCCGACAGATCTACGGTGTCCCCTTTTTGAGTTATACCTCTTTAAACAGTCTGAGGGCTCTGACAAAAGTCAGTATCTGAGACGGTTTTAGAGGGGTTAGTTAGAGGGGTTCTCCGATATCAGTCATACCAAAGTTTATGGCATGAATTGTTGTTGTCTCATATTATCAAGATAGTATGTTTTTTAACTGAAAATTTAAAGAAAAATTAAAAGTTTTTTCTAAAAATATAAAACTTTCAAACAATTTTTTTTACGAAAAAAAACCACGTGCTTGTGAAATCGAAATATACTACCATTATGTGGTGCATTTATTTAAGATTCGCCGTATATAATAGAAAAAAATGAATTATTTAATTATAATTTAATTGAATACTATTAAGCTTCATTCAGTACCTCGCAATTAGTGGTTTCAATTACACCTTATACTTTTTAGTTTACGATCATTCACAATGTTTAAAAAACACAATTTAAATTAATAGAATATTCTAGCAACAGCTTGCGTTAGTCAGTTGTATACATAGGGAAAGACTAAAATTTAGCTTATAAAACAATCAATTTTTGATTTCTAACCACAATTTTTGTTTACGGAAGACAATCAAAGGCCAAAATGACATTTCTCGCAAATTTTGAAGTATAATTAGTGGAAAAGTTAAAATGGTTAAAAGTTTGATAACTTTTTCTACTAATTTAAAATGCCTACCACTAATTTTGACGTTCTGAATGCTTACAATCAAATTAAAGAAACACACTCCTACGCTAATTGAGCTTTAAGAATATACCGTTTTTTTTTAAATTATCCCTTATATATTTATTATTTAATTTTAAATAAAATGTGATGGTTTAAAACTAGCTATAAAACATATATCTCATTGTTTTGTTTATGTAATTTTATGACAAAATCCCAGTAGTACATTCTCGCTTATTCTTACCATCAACGCTTGGCCCGAATGCACTTAAATAAGCCGGAGGTGTCACTTCGGCCTCTAGAAGCTCCCCCAAGGGAGTCTCTCGCAGACAGTCCACAATCTGCTCGTGATCTTTACCGACGTCATCAGGTATAGTGCAGTTCACTTCTTTGGCCAACTTTACAGCGTAGTTCACGGGATCTTCCACCTAGAATTAAGTATATATTTTTAGAAACTATAGTATGAAAATAAAGAAAAGTAAATCATAGATTAATATATTATGAGTAAAAATCAAACACTTGAAAAGATTTATTATTATTTCATATTAAGTACTTAATTCCACATGCTTTAGAGTACTCGAAGTAATTACTAAATACAAATGATCTCGACAACAAAGGTGTGACTGAATAATATATCGCCCTGGTATGAAACAAATTGTTTTCAATTTAAATCAAACAAAATTATTTTGAACAGCGGGAAGGTACGGAAATGGTAGTCCACTGTCTCCATTTTTGGCTATTTAGTCATGAGCTAGTTTGAAGTAGAGGCTAAAAATCAGTTTAAGTATTTTTCAAGTGTATGGTTTTGGTATGTGGATGATATATTTGCCGTTTTTGACACACATTATAACACTATAGATAACTTTACTTCTAAATTAAATAATCGTTTCCTTTCCATTAAATTTAACTAAGAAATTGAGGACGATAGATTACTATTTAAAGATGTAATAGTTATTTGAAATGTTTTATTAACTACTTAGTCTCCCACTTAGTAACAAAACATATAAAATAAAAAGTGGGAAAAAGTGGTCCTAGTTGTGAAAGATACGTCAAAGTATATTTCAATACCGTTTAAAAGAAAGTTATTCCGTGGTTTAAAAACAATTTTCAAGAATGTCAATTATAAACTTGTGTGTATAGTGCTAATAATAAATTACAACAACGTAAATAATAAATTCAAAACGTAAAAATCCTGCTACTGCAAAGGTCAGTCTAGTACTTACGAAATTTCATGTAAAAATCATGTAATCATGTAATAAAAAATATGTTGGGCAAACTAGAAGATCAATATTCACAAGATTTAAAGAACATATGACTCAGATAAGACATGGTAGACCAAATAAATCTTGCGCTGCTCAACAGACTGTTGATAAAGATCATTGTATAAATGTTAATAATTTAAAATTAATCAAACAAGTCTCAAATTACAAGTAATTAGATGCATATGAGAGCGTCAAAATGAGTAAATGTAAAGATAATACTAGCAGTATATGAACGAGACTCTAGTCTCTGTAATGAATTGTTACGCTAGGTTGGTTTTGACTCGCTTGGCTAGTTTGACCACGCTTGGTCGGTACTAACTAAGACCACTCAATTTGTAGATACTTGTTTAATGTTAATCATCTGCGAATGGTGCCATGGTTAGCAAATCGCGAGTCCAGTGTTTAAAGTGTTTTGTGGTGCATTGTGGTTAATAGTGTTTTATTTTCCACGGTATTTGACAGTTTGTATAATTAAAATGGATATTATATAATTTGAAACTATATTAGTCAAATAAAATTTTAGAAATGCAAACCTTGTGCGACAATTTTCTCCCTCAGAAAAAAGTACCTATATTCAACAGTCGAGAAAGTTGAATTGACTTAACTTAGGTAAATTTCCGTTAAAGTTTCCCAGGTAGAATAGTTTTGAACGAAACAGAAATCAAACATTGTCTGGTATGAAGAAGTACGCTTTCCGAGAATTGGGGAAATTTCGAGAAGCAGTCAATAGAGTATATAAGCCGGAGCCATCGACAACTGAGACAGTTTTTGAAATTTGAATATACCGCGTGGAAATTGAAAATCGGACAATTTGGTGAAGGAATCTTATAAATAGTTAGTTTGTTGTGTGTTATAAGTTAGTAATTGTGTATAAAGTGAGAAAAATAAATTCGTTAAGTATTTTATCGTGAGTTTAAATAGTGGACCCACGGAATCCGTAACAATTGGTGTCAGAAGTGGGATTCAAGAGGATTTTAAGAAGAAATTAAGTGGATTGGACGATTTTTACACCGAATTTGGGAATTTTTATGGTTGGTACGAGACAGCAAGCGAAGAAAATGGAGGAAGTAAGCAAATTATTGGGCGATTTTATGGAGAATATGAGAAGAGAAAAGGCAGAAGAACAAGAAAGACTCCGTAAAGAACGAGAAGAAGAGCGAGCCCGACTAGAAAAAGAGAAAGCAGAAGAACAAGACCGCTTACTGAAAATTCTAGAAAATCAAGAAATTAAACAGGACCGGCTTGAGAACATTTTCGAAGATTTGAAAATTCAACGACAACAAGACAAACAAGAAGAACAGGACCGGCTTGAGAGAATTTTTGAAGATTTAAAAATTCAACGACAACAAGATAAACAAGAAGAACAGGACCGACTTGAGAAAATATTAGGTAATTTAGAAATTCGTTTGGAGGAGCGACGTCATAGAGAAAGACAAGAAGATCAAAATCGTCTTAAAAAGATCTTCGAAGATCTGGAAAAAAGACAAGAAATACACCTTCAAGAAGCCGTAGAAGATCTGGAGGAGCGACTTCAACAGAAAATGGAAAAATTAGAGAAGGACCTACAGAAGACCAAGGCACAAGTAAAGACACCTGGCGTTCATGGAACTGCGAACCTCAAGGCCCCGACCTACGATGGACAAACCACCTGGACGATGTACCACCGCCAGTTTGAAGCAGCGGCTGCTGCCAATGGATGGACTGACCAGGAGAAAGCAGCGGCACTTGTCATCGCGCTGCGTGGCCCTGCCCTGGAACTGTTGCAAACTATTCCTGCAGCCCAACAGCAGGAATACCAAACTTTGGTCGCTGCACTGGACAGAAGATATGGCGACCAACATCGACGCCAACTTTATCAGGCACAGATCAAGACACGCCTGCAGAGGTCCGGAGAGAGTCTGCAGGAATTCGAAGCAGACTTACGTCGCCTGGTACACCTAGCGTATCCAGAAGCACCGGAAGGATTTAGGGAGGAACTCGCTGCTCAGTGCTTTATCAGCGGATTGAGGGACAACGAATTGCAGAGGGCGCTGCAAATATCCCAATTTTCTACCAGCAGCGAAGTACTCGTCAGGGCGCTGGAAATAGAAGCTGCATTTAGCGCCATTCCTAAACAGAAGATAGGCTCGGTAACGGTTGAGGAACAGCCAAAGAGTTCTCACATACGTTTGGAGGAGATGTTTAATAAACTATGTGAATTACTAGTGAACAAGAGAGTCAACAACACCCAGACAGAGAACCAAAGAAGATTCCAGGATATGAGGTGCTATGGATGCGGCAGGAATGGCCACATCAAACGAGATTGTCGCATCCAAATGCGATTCCATTCACCATCCAGAGAACATCGGCACATCGGAAGATCCCAGGACATAAGTTGCTATAGATGTGGCAGGAATGGCCACATCAAACGGGATTGTCGCATCCAAATGCGATTCCATTCACCATCCAGAGAACATCGGCACATCGGAAGATCCCAGGACATAAGTTGCTTTAGATGTGGCAGGAATGGCCACATTAAACGGGATTGCCGCGTCCAAATGCCATTCCGTTTACCATCGAGAGAACATAGGCACCAGGAAATCAACACTAATGAGCGAGTATTGGCTGAAGAAAACAGAGCCCCTAGGATGTTTTCCGTTAGGAGTCTAGAAAAAAACCGCTGACAGTTTGGTGATCAACGGGAAGGTCAATGGTAGAAGAATTCGAATGACTGTGGACACAGGCGCTATGGTATCGTTGGTGCGGACTAACTCGGTGCAAGGATTGAAGATGATGCCTCTTAAAAGAAGAGTGTATTTACGTACAGTTACGGGGGAAATGGCCGTTGTACGGGGAGAGGCTTTCATAGAACTGGAGTTAGGGAATTTGAAGTTTCGGCATAGCGTTTTAGTGGCAGACATTGAAGATGATTTTATCATGGGTATGGATGTGATCAGTCAACATGGTTTTTCGTTTGATCACCATAGAAACATCCTGAAAATCGGAAATGAGGAATTTTCTGTATCTAAAGAGAAGAGACCAGGAAATATGGAAGAAAGATCATCGAAAATTGTGATGATACCTGGTGATACCAAGAAGACTGTGTTCGAGAAAATAGAGGAAACCTCTGGGTGCCGTGTAGGACGGGTACAAATTATCGACAACGAGCCAGATCGACGACGAGCTACTTTGGGCAAGAAAATGAAACATCGCGAAAGCACTATCAGAGTAAGGAATTTTAAACTGAGAACTGACGAACAATGGACGACGATACAGTTGAGGAAAGATCAAATGGAAGATCCAGACATCGGAGCAATACTACGGCTCAAGGAAGGTAACGGCGAGAGACCACCGTGGCAGGATATTGCGGACAGAGGGCTCGTTTTCAAAGCTCTCTGGGCTCAGTGGAATTCACTGGTGATTGAGAATGGATTGATAAAGCGCACGTGGGAAAGTGCGGATGGCAGGACAGTAACAACTCAGTTACTGGTACCAAGGAAGAAAGTCACCCAGGTATTGGAAGAAATTCACGGTGGTAAAACTGGAGCCCATCTTGGAGTAAACAAGACCTTGAGTAAGCTGAGAGACCGTTTTTACTGGGTGGATTATTGCGAAGATGTTAAGAAATGGTGTCAACGTTGTAAGATTTGCGCAGCTAGACAAAGACCAAGTACTCGATCTGGGGAAGAAATGGAACAGGATAGCGTTGGACTGTCGTTCGAAAGAATCGCTAGGAAGGAAAGATTATTGGACATTCATAAGGCCGTTAGAAGTAAGATTGCGCTAGCCAGTGACCGGATGAAAGCTCATTACGACCTCAGAGCTAATTCTACGGGATTTCAACAGGACGATAGGGTATGGTTGTATAACCCACAGCGCAAGAAAGGAAGGTCCCCAAAGTTAACTCCAGCATGGGAAGGTCCTTATACAGTCATCAAGAGGATAAATGATGTTGTGTACCGGATTCATCGCAGCCCTAGAAGTAAGATGAAAGTAGTTCATCTGGATCGATTGAAGAGATACCAGACAGGAAACCTTGATCGGGACGATCAAATTTGAGAGGGGGCAATGTCAAGAAAAATGGCGCATCCGCCAGAAATTAAAAATGTATTACTGGTTGCCTGCACAACCGCAACGTATCCGCCAGAAATTAAAAAGACTTTTCAGGCGCCATCTTTTAGTCAAGT